TGTCAAATAGTTAACTTGTTAAATACTTCTAGGTTGGCTTGATATGTAAAAGTAGTTCTTAAGCTGCTTTTCAAGAGTTTCTTCTGAAGTCACATAAGTTCACTTGTCATGGAATGCAAAACTGTTATTGGAGAACTTTCTCTAGAAAGAGGGTCATAAAATAATGAATATGATAATGTGATCTAAGGATCTGAGAAGTCTAGGTGTGATCTCTATGTCATCTTGCTTTCTGTATGTCTTGGGATGGCATTTATGCTCTGGCCTGTTAAAATGGCGTAGCAGATTGTGCTTGTTGATTTCTGCTGGTCCCATTTTTTAACAGAACGTCCATTTGTTGACTGTCGGAGCCTGTACTCACTCCCTCCTTGTTAAAAAGTGTGGACTGCAGCAGTTTAAAATGTACTGGTTCAGGCATGGTGACAAACGAAACTAATGACTTCTGTTGCCATTTGTGTTTGAGATTTTTTTATCATCTGATCAGTATCCTAACAAATGTCAGATAGCTCTAGTCTCTAGGGCGTACTAGTTTATTAAACTGTTTTGTAATTAAGTTAAATAGGTGAATGCAAATTTCTTCTTGAAATAACACAAATCGTTATGTAAGTCCTTAAGCATCGTGATCAGGGATTTGTGGATTTACTTTTTTTAACCGTAAGCTTTTTGAACTCCTTATTTACAGGTCTGTTGGATAATTTTTCTTTCTAAATACTGGACAGAAGTCCCAAGTCAGGCAGCTCTCAACTGAATTTTGAAGATCTTAACTTCAAATATTGTAAGAAGTAGTCACCAACTTCTTGAAACACACTTGTAAGAAACATGGTGTCTCATACAACAAAAAGTTTTTAAATTGCAGCCTCTTAAAAAAAGATTACACAAATTCATGGACAGTAGTGAACTCCATGAACTGTTAATATCAATATCAAGAAACTGATATTAGTGTATATTTCTGTTAATTGTAATAATGATGGATACTGGGTGAGTATGGGGGGGATGGCAGAACATTGCCAAGCTCATGTGTCTTACTCAGCATCACTTCATATTGCCATAGTCAGGGTTGGAATACTGGCCTGAACCAGTAGGCCATTTGTTATGTAAATAGCTGTCCTGTTCAAGCTTCCTGAGCATGTGAAAACTAATCTTATTTCCCTTGAAAGATGAAGCATAATCACTGCTTTAGAAAACAGGAAGTACTGTATAAGTCAAGTAATACAGTGCTGTTCCTAGTTATTAGTAACTTGGGTCTTTTATGAGATCTCCTTTTCTGTGATAAATCAATACCTACATTTATTTACAGTCAAATTCTTCAATTCTCTCCAGTGTGATGATACTAGGTCTTCAGGTTATGGCAGTTCAGTTGCTATGTCCTCTGAGCAGGAGAGAGTGAGTTCAGGTTGAAATGTGTGGCTTTTAGAACCTGTATGTCAATATAAAAACCTTGTCACAGCTTGTCAAGTATCTTCTTATGGAGAATTACATTCAAAGACAAGCAGTTTTATGTTAACAATCATGGAAATACACACAAGTTTAATGTAGGCTGTCTAGTCTCAAACATTGCCTTCATAGTTTCAGGCTCTGTCATTTTTATATGAACTTGAATGAATGATATTTCTCCATCTTTTGAAGAGGCTCATGAGCCTCTCTAGGAATTAAGAAACTTAATTGCGTTTGGTGGTTTGTCCATAAACCACATTTAATAGCCTTTCAGGGACTGAATATTAATTTGCTTGAAAATATCACTAGGAAAGAATTGTTTCCTCCTGTCTCTCTAGTTAGCACCATAGACAGAAAGGGTTACTTGTTTGTGACTATTGATATTTTTTCTTAATTGTTTGACCAACCATAGTTCTGGGTTTTGCTATGCAATCAGTATCTTGAGGCTTCAGAGAACCATAAGGTAGCACTGAGAAAGGTATAATAAAGGGATGGTATCTGTTTAACTTGTATTTGCTCTCTTGTGGTGATGCTGCATTATTGTGAAGCTCATGGCAGAAAAACCTATTTTTCTGTTTACAAGACAATGCTACATCTATTGGGAAGTTACAGAAGCTTCTATAGCACAGCATTATTGCAGATAGAGGTGGGTGTGGTCTAGTACTAGCCTATTGATTATATTGAAAATGAGGGAACTCTGATGGGTTTTGGTATGACCGCAGATTAGAACTAAAACACAGGAAAGAAGCACTCTCCCTGACCTGCTTGCCTTTGTTTTACACACAGGCATGAGAATGAGTTATGGCTAGAAAAACTATTTCTTCCTCAGTTTTTTGCATAACTACCTAAACAAAAACTTCAGAGGAGATTCTTCTTTCTCATCCTCTTATGGATGAGAGGTAGGTGAAGGGGAAGCATGGTCTATGCCCAAAAGAAAAAGAATGGGAAACTAGGCCTGGAGTGGTGAAGTTACTTAACCTTATGCCAGAATATATTAAACTTGGTTATGTTCTGTTGCTTTAACTATAGCTACTAGTTCACTCAAAGTAGCAATGAAGGAGTATTTATTGTTTAAAAGACATGCTGAAAGTAGCTCATAAAAATACTTTTATGTATGATCATACTGAAGTTCATTTCACCTGCATGAGAATATTGTCCAAAGCATAGCCAGATAGGAAGACCTCAGGAGGAACTAATCTGTGTGTTAGGAGATGGTTGGACTTGTGTTAGAAGAGCTACCTCTGCAAAGTCCTGCCTCTAACTGTTCTGGTAGCTGTTGTCTTTTGCATTGAGAGTAACACTTCAGAGAGCCTAGTGAACAAGGTTAAGCAAACTTCCTTTTATGCCAAGCAGTGCTGAGTCTGGTATTAATGCAAGTAGTTGCCTTCAGAGTAGTTGATCATCATTGTGATAAGCCTCTGAAGCCATATGTTGACTTGTAGGACTGAAGTGACAAAACTGTTGTTGTATTTATCTTCAAGCTAGCCAGCCCTTTCTTTTGTAAGCTGTAGTACGTGTGGAGGACACTGATTCTAGCTGTCTGTTTCTGGCAAGCTTGGCTGTTGTTTCTCTCCTGAATGCAAGGTAGCTGATACAGGTTATCCTCTCCAAACCCTTCCAGACTCTAAAAAAACTGTCTGGGTTGCTGTGTGGAAGTTCATTATTACCCTATTGTCAGCATGTGTTACAGAACTGTAGATGTTTGGACATATTCTTTGCAGCAGTATCCTTAGAAATAAAGCTTTATCTTAAGTTCAGAAGCAAACATGAAGGAATATGGATCATTACTAACTAGAATAGTTCTAAATGTGCAGTGGTAACTTCAGGAGCTTCAAGATAGAATATTGTGAAAGAATTGGATGGACTCTGAAGCCAGTGGAGAGCTCTCATTGTTCATGGCTGATGAAAACATGATGATACAGTAACAGTATTTAGGCTTTTTCTGTGGGAAGTCAGGTATGAAATGACATGTTTCTGTGGACAAAGACATCTGATACACAATTAGCACTGATTACTGATATGAAGGCTGGCAAGCAGTTTTTCTAGACTTCATACTGAATTATACAAACACTGAGACTGGAGAGCTGAAATTGGGGGATGTTTGACTCTTGGTCTGGTTCCAGTTAGCATACTTGTATTGGCATATGACAGCATGCTGGTACAGTGCCGTTTCCTCTTCTGCTTACAGTATGCTCTGTCAGCATGCTGACTATGCATCTTAATCACAAGTTCTGGGGAGTTCAAAACAGATGGGAAGTTTGTTTTAATACCTTCAATGCATCTGATCTGGGTGCCCTCTGGAAACACTTAGCTCTGTGCCAGTTAGTGGCTGTTTCTATGCAGAAGAAAAGCAGCCCTAAGACAAACACATCTGTTTTCTCAGCCACAGCCCTCAGCAATGATGGTGTTCCTTTCACCTCAGCAGTCTACCAGCCTGAATACTGAAGACGTTAGTGAATGTTTTTGGTGTAACAAGAAAACTTAATCATATTATCACAGTTCTTGGAAGAATCTTCAAGACTTATTAGCCCTCTCACCTAGCTGGTGAGTCAGTGCTTCCCAAGGCGTCTCTCTCATGAAACAAGTGCCTACCTTCTGGAGATGAGAACTACATATATTTAAAGGCTAGTCTCTCTTGGGTGTTCTAGCAATAAAGTTGTGTCTCCAGTTTGATTGCCTGAACGTGTGAATTGCTCTCTGCTCTTCCAAGGTAGGCAGAGCGGGCAGCTAGCTTATTCAAGCTGTTAATGTCAATATGAGTTGTAGACCCTGGCTTAGCTTTAATTCCCGTCCTGCCAAAACAAGGTGAACAGCTGCAGCATGCGTATGTAGTGCAGATGGGCTTAAATTCAAGGAGAGTGAAGTGTAAGCATGTTTTCTTTGTGGGCTTTAGTCTTCATAAACCTACTTAGTAGAACTGTTAGTTGTAGCTGAAACCACCTAAGTCAGTGTATGTGCAGTGATTTCTACAAATATGCTTTGGGGGAGCTTCCAGATTGATGTTAGGTGATGCGCAGGGTAGCTGCTGTGGAGCAGACAGATGCTGTTAGCTTTATGTGCTTCCCAAACCAGTTCTTTTTGGCTCCTGTAACTTGCAGAGGAGTAGCAATCAGACAAAGTAGCTACCATCTTTCGGATATAGGAATCTAGTTATAAAATACGAGGTTCTGAAAAGCTGGTTTTTGTCAGCTTGGGTCTTCCCCTACTGAAACTAGTAATTATGTTCTTGGAGACTAGTATCCTCCAACTTAATTTTGAACTGATGACTTTACAGTCCTCTGTCCTAATACAGTTAATGATTGCCATTCAGGGCTCAGGGATAAGAACTTGATAATACTTGCCTAGTTCCCTGGTAAAGGAGTATGAAGAGCTTCCTGTGTGCCATTAACACCAGTGTGAAACTGGGGCATACACAGCCACAAAGAAATAGAGGATACAGCAGCATAATGGTCTTAGTTTTAGATGAATTAGCTATCTTATTTAAGGAGGTGGTGCAAAATAACTTGATTTTCTGCTTGCTATTGGGTGACTTTGCTACAGTCTCTTCTTTCATTGAAGAGTGTGTTAACATGGCGGAAACACCTCTGTGTGATAAGTTTATCCATGGTGGCATTATGGCATTATCGGTGAGACAAAGTGGTAACATGACCTGTTTATATCACACAGGCAGATGTTATGTAGCACTGTTGCAGAGATGCCTTGCCGAGATTTAGCAGTTCTTGAAAATCTTGGTGCATTTTACATAGTCTGGAGATCTAAATAGTTTCACAAGATCAAATGTTTGTCTCACAACTGACAAATGTTCCCTATGGTTGTGTTTTAATAAGATGAAATTTTAGGGTTCTGTGGCAAAGATTCCTAGCTGATCCTGTTCCTGTGGCTCTACTACCAGTGACACTTCAGAGGGAATAATGCTGCAGGTGAAGTAGGAAGCTGTCAAACATGTCATCACAGAAGGTAGCAGAAAGGTGACTTTGCTAGGAATGTTAGCTATATCTCTCGAGCTAATGAGGAATTAGGAGATAACCAAACTAGGATAAGAATTACTAAGTGCTCGCTGCAGGATTGTTAATCTTCCAGGTAGAGACTAAAACAGTGAGAGTCACGCTTCTTAACTTCTGAACAGTTGTCTAGTACACTCAGCTTCTAAGACAGGGAGGAGAAAGTGGGAGTAACTTTAGAACACTGTAGCAGCTTCTCAGCAGTATCAGCTCTGCTGTTTATGTAGTCTGAAGCATAACCTCATGATGAAGAAATGACCTTGTATTACTGGTTCTGCAGAATGATGGCTCATTTGGTTTCTTGTGCCTATCCGGAAAAGTGCAGAGATAAGGAAGTGACCCTGCGTAGTATCAGGTAACACTCATTTGCATAACTCCCACATTAGATACTCTAGTAAATCTTGCCATACAAATTACTGAACTGAGTATATCTGGCTGTTCTGTCTTTTCTCAAATGGCTAAACTAGTGTCACTTCTTTACAGGTGCTGTTGATGGAGTGGTTAATGGAGATGTCTATCAGGTAAGATAGAAGTATGCTGTACTTAGAATGTGCTGTTCTACTCTGAGAACTTTACCTTAATTTAGACTAATACTTCCCATTTCTTGTCTCTAACGTACTTTTATCTCATCTCTGAAGAGGAACGTCTATTCTGATAGCTCATCTCATAAAGCTGTTAATGCTCTTAATATGTCCCTTCTCTGAACTTGGAGGCAACTTAAAGCAGCAGTCCATTTTGAATTGTGGCTTAATAGGACATAACCACTGTAAGCATTCTGACAGGCTCTATGGTATGACTTAACGTTGACTTGCTGCTGGCTAATAAGCTGAAAGCATGCTCTGACTACGTAGTTTAAAGCAGAGTTTTCTGAATTGCTTGCTCTTTAAGGATAATTCATGTGTCCTGGTTGTCTTATCAAGATTGGTCTTAGAAGGAGCTGACTGAAAACATTATACACTTCTTAGTGACATAAAGTTGCATGAAATTAAGCTGCTGGCTAAATAGCTCAATCGTAGTATGAAAGTATGTTAGTCAGCCATGGTAATGACAAAAGGAGGAGATACTTGATTTATTAGTGTTAGGGAGGAATGAGGCATGCTAAGGCAATCACTGTGTTGTAACTGAATTTCACTAAGGCATTGTCATTGCCTGGTATCAGAGTTGGCTGGATAGCCCTGATTAAATGAATGCATGGGCAGGGGGCAGCATATGAGCTATACTTCTCCATAGAGTTTTAAGTGAACACTGAGCTTTGTGGAGACACAAACAGCTTTCACTGCTGCTAAAATTTTTATATCCTCACCATTGCTCTGAGATTGATGGGAAAACTGTATCTTACTGGCTCTTTGTGCTTCCTTATACAACAGAAGGTAGATGAAATATCTTGATTTTGTGTTTGCAATTCTAAGTGACGAGCTGCTTTGGTTGATAGAGCTTCCTCTTAATGAGGAAGAACAGACTGAATGGGCTGTGTGTAACTTTTGTTTTAGCTACCTATAACTAGTTTTACCCTGCAACTGGCCAATTTATTTTGTTTTGGATTGAATGTGAAGCCTGGTGCTTTTGCTCCTTCTCTTTGCATTCTCTTTATTGAGGGCTACAGGAGGTCCAAAGAGGGGCAAGACGCAGCCAAATCTGTCATTAGCTGCAGTCCATCTGGTGCTGTCAGGAGTGGTATTTCTCAGGTCTGTTAAGAGTAGGGTGAACCAATAGAAGTTGTTGGACTTGGAGTATCTTCTGTGGCAAATAGCACAATATTCATCAGCTTTGCGAATCTGGTGTATTAATGATAGGCCTATTCATTGCAAGCCTTTAAGCTATTATATAGCAAGAAGTATGCTAGTACTCATGCTGTTGTGATACTTAAATGTTGAAATGCCTCTTGTGTTCTAAGCTGCATACAACAATTCAAATCCTCTGATGTCTGTAAAGGACGCTGGCTTTTAAGTTTGCAAATGTCTGAAGTAGACAAATAACATTAAAAAACATTTTAAACTCCTATGCACAAAACCATAAAAAAAAGATTACTTTCACAGCAAATATTTAAAGTGAAATGAACTGGAGGGTCTCTAGGCCTACGCTGCATAGTGAGGTGCTAGGCATTGTCTTCTGCTTTCTTCAGGCATAGAGCTCTGGCACAGTTTGACTTCCCAGTCAACTTGAATTTGTGTTTGACCCCTGACTGCTAGAGGCAGTCCTGAATTAATTTGCTTCAATCCTGCTGCAATTTGTGGCAAGACGTTTTTCATGTTAATGGAGGAAATGCGGTATAACATCAGATGAATGTGTAATGTGCTCAGTTCAAATAGAGTCTAATTTTATGTAGGTTGCAAGCAGTTATTTGAAATACTCAGTTGTCATGTATAAATGACATTACTATTCCTTCCCTTTAAGGAGAGTAATGGTCCAACGGACTCCTATGCTGCCATATCCCAAGTAGATCGACTGCATTCAGAACCGGAGAGTATTCGTAAGTGGAGGGAGGAGCAAAAGGAGCGCCTGGAGCAACTTGGTAAGGAGGGTGTTTGTTGCAGTAGTGTTATTGCTTGTGAATAACATAGCGGTAGCTTCTTAAGCAGCAGAATTCTCAACGATGGCTTGTGGCTCTTGGGAATCTAACATGCTTCTTGAGTTTGAGCAGCAAGTCTGGGTGAGTCTTCCAGTAAGCAGACTTAATACTGGTATAGGAGTCAGCAAGCAAGTGGCTCTCTGAACCTTAGGAGTATTCATGTGGCCTGCCCTTTACTTACAAATAAGCTGACAGAAAATGAACAGCTTTTATCAGCAGAAAAGAGTGAATAAATACTGCAGCCATCAGCATTTTTTTCAAAGGATAAAGATTGCTCATTTTATAATTGCTGAGGCCATCTGTTGTCACATGGATCTTAGTCTAATAGCTATGTTAAGTAATGGACTAGTAACTAAACTAAATACAGCTGTCAAATGCAGTGATATCTACCTGTGGACAGCTTCTAAGAGCCTAGAAACTGGTGTGCTTTCTCCTTATATTAGGGAGGAGGCTTTGTGTGAAATTGTTAGGACAGCACCTTCTGCACAATGTGATTCTGGTTAGAGCTGAGCCTGTTGCTCCTCTTCTGGGCTAGTTATAGTGGATGAGCTTGTCCTGAACTGTAGGCTGGGTGTAAAGGCATGCTGAGTGCCAGGCTCCCTCACTTTGTCTAAGCACAGAGGCTTTACTGAGCTTTGTTCTAGCACTAGCATGGCAAGGTGACCATTTCTATTTTTGAACAGTTTGCCAACAGACTTACTGAATCTGAATTAGACTACAAATGCCTATCCTAAACTGAAGAGGCCTGTCCCAGTTATGCAGCACCGGCATTCTGTTTAGCGAATCTTCTGAATGTTCATGGTATTTAGAGTTCTCAATCAGGCCTAAATCAGGAAATCTCCTAACCCTTATCTGAGTAGATCAAGCAACTGTCTGCATTAGAGTGCACCCTGAGCCATCAGCTGAAATGTTAGCAAGATCCAGCTGGAACAAGCATGACTGACAAATCAATTCTTAAATCTTCAGATGCGAACTCACGAAAGCAGGAAGCAGAATGGAAGGAGAAAGCAATAAAGGAGTTGGAGGAATGGTATGCAAGGCAAGATGAAAAGCTCCAGAAAACAAAAGCAAGCAACAGGTAATGTTTCTCCAGCCAGCTGAAGAGTTACGAAAGTAATAGGGAGATATGAAAGGCTATGAAAATGGGGGAGAGAGGTTAGAATACTTCTAGTATGTCCTAAGGCACTAGTCCTTCATTAAAGTAACCTCTCCTACTAAGAAATGGGTCTCCAGTGGTAGACTATCTCTTTAAGTTTTCTTAGAATCTAGATTAAATGTCCAAGAGTAGCAAGAGAAAGCATTAAGATAATGAACCAGAATTACTGAAGATTCCTTAAGACACAAAGTTTGAACGTGGCCAGAAAAAGTTTTAGTTTACCCACTTGTTCGCATGCTGCTAGCTGCACAGGTTTTCAGTGACTGTAATTACCTACCTTGAGACTAGCAGTCTTGCTTGCTATCTTTAGAACACATGGAAGTGGCCTTCTAGTTAGTCTTTGCTACAAGTTATTTCATCAGATATCTTAAAACCTTTGGCTGCTCCTTTTGGAAGCATTTGAGAAATAACCTGACTCAGTTCTGCTAGTGAAGAACTAAATGCTGACTGTGTCTGTGTTGGGTTTGAATTGTCTAGTTATGGGCCCTGGGGCAGAAACTAATGACTTGGCTGCTAGTCTAGTAAGCTCTTATACTTTCTTAGAGGTTCCCTGTGGAATTTTGACTTCAAGCTATGTAAAGGTAAATATGATAGTACTGACTTAATACCACTTAGATCTCTACTTCTGACCTAGGGCTGCCAGTGTCATTCTGTCCAGGTAATCATCAGGGCTGTTTTATACTTTGGGAACCCACAGACTTCAAGATGAACTGTTTTTTTGAAAGGCCAGCAGGTTTGTCTTGAGTAAGAGTCCTAGGTAGACTCTACTTCTTACTAAAGGAAGAAAGGAGGCCTACACTTCCTACAAAACTATGGATTTGACACTTCTGTTCACTGAGGTACAGTCTTTTGTTTGGGCCAAGAAAGGGAAACAGGATTGGCACTTTTCTAGTTGATGGCCAGAGCTCATGATACCCCCATAGCTTTATTGTGGCCCGTGTTTGAGTGCAGGGTATGCATTCTGGAGTAGGGTCCATTTAACAAGTGTTGCGCAGAAGGAGTGGTTGGCATTCTCATCAACCTGGTGAAATCTCTCTCCTAATGGTAGCTTCTGTCCCCTGGAAGTAGCCTAATGCTAACACTGGGACTCTAGTCCTAAACTAGCTGGTCCCAACTTCTAGGATGTAGCAGAGCTTTTGTGTTGCCCCTCTGAGTCGGGGGCTTAATTGATACATTCCATGTGGTAGCTGCTTTCCTGTTACAGTAAGTCTAGGTGATACAAGGTTAATGTGCTTGTTAAAACTGCCTTCAGCTGTGTTCCGTACTTCTCATTCTTATCTCTTTTCTCCTGCCTGCTTGCCTGCCTGTTGGACTACTTGCTACCTAGGGTGGCAGATGAAGCTTTCTACAAACAACCCTTCGCTGACGTGATTGGTTATGTGTATGTTGCTTAACTGCTAATTCTGTTTGCTAGTCAGCTAGGTAACAAGGAGAATCAGAAATAGTGCTGAATATTTGAAGGTGACTTCTGAATATTTCAGGGCAGTGTAAGTTAATATAAGTAAACAGCCTTTACTTTTTGGACTGACTCTGATCTGTAGTATTAAGTGCTGTTTTCCTGCAAGGATCACATACACTGCAGAACATCCAGCACTTTCAGATTAAGTCATGTAGTGTACATAACACTGGAATTTTGGTAATGACTTCAGTAGTCTTTAGATGTGGGGGTTTACAGTTGTTTCCAGGCCAGTGAACACTGTTTAGCAGGATGCTTTGCTGGGTATGTGGGTTAGTGTCTGCAATCTCACATGGGTGCTATATTTAGACCTAGTTACTTCCACAGAGAAGCACAATGTTTAACTCTGCATTCTCTGTAATAGGCATTGAGCTCCTGAGCTGTGCTTATTTGCCTACATAATCAGAAAAATATTCAAGTAATGCTTGCACATAAAGCTCCGCAAGCCAAGGAAGGTGGAAAGGAATCACCTGCCATACATCAGGTAGAAGAGGTGTGTGCATATAGAATTAAGATGCTATTAGAGAACAGATGAAAAGTACAAAAAGGTGGTATTGGAAAATCAGCATTAGCTGCTGGGAAAACGTTTAGGAACAGCTCTGTGTAGACATTTTACCAGCCTAATGGATCAATGAGAATACAGCCATGACTTTCAAGCCCCCATGAGCATGTAGTTTCCGTGGGGTGGAAGGATTGCAGTATTCATTGGCTTGTTCATGTGTTTTAATTTCTTCCCTTAATTTGTAGACTTGAATTGAAAGATGGCCGTATCACAGATTCTAAGGTGACACCTTTAGAAGGTGTATTGGTGAGCCATGGTGTGGCTTTGAGTGCATTAATATTGAAGGTTCCCTGTGGAATTCATTACCTAACTGTAGGTGGCTGTAAACCAAGACTTGTGAAATGATGGATTTACAGGTGGTGTTTGACTTTTCTGAAGTTTCCTGGAGTTGATTTTGATAGATTTTTCCAGTAAAACCCTTATTTTCATATATCCAATGCAAATGTGCAGTGTAAGTGCTGCAGAATAAAATTTGGCAGCCTGTTTCCTGAATGTAGGCTAAGCTAGTAGTGCATGTTCAGCCAGCTGATCATCTGCATTAAACTCATTCTCATTTTCTATATTTGACTTAAACTTTCTCTCCTTGTTTCTTTTCTTCTCTTCACCTTTAAGCACAAACATAAATCATCCTTGCTACAGCCTAGAACAGTTAAGTAAAAAAATCTTCACTGCCCCTTAAAAGTGTCATGTCACATAAAGTAGCAGTGTTGTAGTGACCCTTGTCTTCAGTGGTGTCTGTAACCTTATCATCCCTGTGAACAGTGCTGAACACCCATGGGAGAGTCATCTTCACTGCTTTTTCTGTACTGCTTGTTGGAGTAGATGGATTTGGTTTGATCTCCTGATGCTTACTACTTTTGCACTCAGGCAGCTACCAGGGCCTCACAGTTCATGTAAACTAGATGCTGGAGTGTTATCCATGCATTGAAGCAATGGCAACAAAGCAATGGCAACATAGCAATGCCAAAAGGATACAGCTGAGAAGCCACTAGCACTAACCTGTACACAATGTAAAAAGCCTCCTTATAGTCTCCTTATGGTGAGAGCAGGCGAAATGTGTTTATCCTGTGAGCTGACCTCAGATGAGTCATCCCCTCTGCCAAGATATGCTTTAGTCTATGGCACCCGCAAGCATGGGATTCATGACTTAAGTTCCTTTTGATTCATGCTGCTTCACTACAGCATTGGGAATCATAAGCAGATAGTTTTATGATGGCCTGTAGGCCTTGGGGCTGATTTAAATCCTCAGATGGAATCTGTGTTAAGACATGCTTGCAGGGAGTTGTAAATTTCCAGTTGGCAAGTGTCCAATATAAGCCATCAAGTGGCAGAGGCTTATCTAGTTAAGACTTGGGCATTTCTCCAAAAATAAAATGCCTGCATAGGAGTACCTTACTTCCTGGCAGTTTATGTGGTGACTCCTTAGGCAAAGACTCAATAACTGTTCTTAAACCAAACACCTGTATTCCAACATTTTACACAGCAATCCTCTGCACTGCTTGTGCATAGCATACTACTGCAACCTACTTCCATCTGCAGGGTTGGGGTAGTGGGAGCTTAAGTAGCCATAATGTCCACAAGCAGCTGTCAGGTCACATTTCTTATGAAACATGCTGAAAGAAGCTACATCCTGTAAGAGGAAGGAGTGCCTTATATGTTGGGCATTAACGCAAGGTGCATTGCATTGCTTTTAGGGCAGCTGAAGAAGCCTTTGTGAATGATGCAGAAGACATTTTTCCGGGCACTGAGTGGGAACGTGTGGCTCAGCTCTGTGACTTTAATCCCAAGTCTAGTAAGCAGGCAAAAGATGTGTCCCGCATGCGTTCAGTCCTGATCTCACTCAAGCAGGCTCCGCTGGTTCGCTGAAGGAAAGCACAATGGAAACACTACAAATGCAATATCTTAACCTTACTCAGAGAAGCTATGTTTGCAGTAATTGGATTAATTGTTTCAATGTTTTTTTGGACCAAACCTCACGATGTATCTAGAGCTGATCATTGATTGCATGTTCTTCCTCATGTTTCCCTTCTGTGTCTGAAATGGGAGAACCTCCAAAACTGTAGTCTCTGTGCTGTTGTGCACTGAGATGTCACTTCCCACATTACTGATATTAAAGATCTGTTAAACAGCAAAATGTGTTGACTTTGGATGAATTAAGCAGCTCTCCTGCTCCCTTTCGAGAGGGGGTGTTTGAATTGAGTGTGAGCAAACATTTCTCTTAATTGCTAGTGCGTTCACCTTGCTGGTGACTGACCAGCCAGCAATGTTCCTGGTCTCTGAGAGACTGTCCTTGTGTCCATAAGCTTTCTTAAAGCACTTGAGAGCTTTAATTTAAAAACTGCTTCCCTATCCAATTTATCACACAAGATAGGAGCTCTGCGAAACTGGAGCAGCAGGCTTGTTAAGGAGCTTATCTCACTTCTAGCAGAACTGAGGACACTGCCTTCTGCAGGTAAGCAGTCCTGTGTAATTTTCTGCTGTCACTCCAGCTGCAGATCTTAGGCTAGAAATACAGTACAGGGCACTGAGTAGTTAAAGCCTTTGATACTCTGCTGCATATTCTGTTCTGCCATGTATTCAACGCTGGCTTCATATGTAAAGTCCTGTTGTGCAGAGGCTGTTTGGGTGTTTTTAAACTGTGTTCTTGTCCTTACTGACTCTTGCAGACACTTTCTCCCATCAGGGTGGTGGATTGGAGATTTGGAGAGCAAGAGAAAGGAAGACTTGCTCTTATTGCTGCTCATCTACTGGGTTGGAGCTCTGTCTGCCAAGGTGGTTGAATTTGAAACAAACTGATCCAGAAAATCTCTATTCTGCTGCTTCCTTGGCTCTCTGATCTCACCCAGCATTTACAAGGGCTGTATTCTAGTCTTGCTCTGATAAGACTTACCTTAGCTGTCTATCTTGTAAGAATAGTCTGTTCAGTCTCATACATTATTTCACTATTTTAATCAAAGATACAGTAGCTTAACTAGTGTGTTGCAGAATTGCTTTAATACCTTTTGTGTACAAGCTGGAAGGTTAGTCCAAACAGTTTGAAGAGGGCTGCAGATGCAGATTAAAACTTACTAAGGTTCAGGGGGTTGCTGCACAGCAACTGTCTTACTGGCAGCTGTGTCTCTTTGGTGGGTAAGATATTGAATAAATGGTTGCCAGTTGGGCTTCAATAGTTAAGCTGTACTTTACTGTTGTGTGTAGTGACTGGAGCTATTCTCATGTTTGCCAGTGTATTCACAAGCTACGGATGAGTTGTGATGAAAATGATATAGACTACAAGTTTAGAAGCTTAATTCCATGGAAGATTAAAGCAGGTGAGTTCAACAGGACTGAAGCACAGAGCAATATCCATAGAATACTGATACTCAGTACTAGCCTTGACCAATTACGTGTTCACCTTGACTGAAAACTTCCTTTCTTCTACTCACCCCAAAGCTCTACAAACAAAGGCTTCTAAAATGAATTGGTAATTTAATAAAGAAAATTCCACTGTATTAAATATATAATGTTTCTACTAAATTTGAATTTAGAGTAGAGGGATTCCTGCACACTGAGTTATGGGACTGATCACCACATTGTCCTATCTCATAGACATTTTATCTGTGCTAAGGGCATGGGTTTGAGCTGTAATCCAAGAAAGTAGGCAAAGACTCTCAAATTCAAGGCCAAAGCAATGTTACAGAATTTAAAGCAGTGTTTTATAAGCTGGGCCTGCAGGGGCTAACAATGTGTGTGTGTTTTTTTTGTGTACACCATCTAGCAGGAACACTTAACAAGCAGCTCTGTGGGTTTTGGTTAACTCCTCTAGCTCTTGTGGTGAGGTTTTGTAGATTCTCTCTTCTGCCTTCATTTTATATTCCAGTATGCTACCTCAATCTGGACGAGGGGATCGAGTGCTCCC